CAGGAACCTCAAAATACATACAAAAAAACATAAATTAAATAATTTTGGCATCCAAGGAATAACGAAACAGAAAATCGCAGAATCTATAAATATACCCAAAAAACGACCAAGTCAAGATATAGCTTCGAATCCGTTTAATTTTGCCAAGCACCCCATTTTAAGTTGATCCTTGCAGAACCTGCCCTTGCACTTTGATCTGAGATCGAAAAGTTAGGTATTAATATCTGTACAAGCACATGAAAACATTTTAGAGTAATTTCTAGCCACAGGTTTCCCCCTACTTGGAAGAAATTATTCATTTGCTTTCACATAATGTAAAATTTACCTCTTTTCACTCTCTGCTCCAGCAATATCCACAATTGTCAGCATACTGCTCATATCTTTGTCATCAACTTCATCACTGACAAATATTTTTAAAAAAAAATCATCACTGATGCCTCAGAATCACAGCGGATGTTTATGATGCACTGTGAGCAAAATGCTAGAATTTGAAAAGACCACCATTGAGAAAAAAATAGCAGTCACTATATATGAAGGTAAGAAAATTTCGAAGATAGTAAAGAAGTCAATACACTAAAAAAGCAGGACTAGAATGGAGAAAGCATAAACTAACTAAACCATTTAATCCAATGGAATAGCAAATTGAGACTTTGATGTGGATAGAGGTTGAAGAATATCAATCTCATTGGAGAAAAAAGTTCCGTCTACAAAATTGGTATAACGTGTCATTGTTTCTGAACACACAAATATAACCAAAATTCACAAGAGCCCAACTTCACCAATTAACAAAAATAATTCTTCACTTTTAAAGATCCGAACTTCTCAAATTTTTCAATGTTCTCAACACAATCCTAAGGCAACAAAACAAAGTCTCAAGTCCATTATTTTTCCCAAGTTAAGCACACGAATGTAATCTCCTTTTCTAAGAGTTTCAACATAAGTCCAAGGCAACACAAAGGTTCCCAGTCCAGGAAATTTCACAACTTTAACACAATTTCTTCACCAATTAATCTCACCAACATAACTCAAATCCAAAGATCCCAACATCCCACTAAATCAATATTTATTCACACAGTTATTATTCACATAACCATATCTCCATTTACAAGATCCGAAACCACCAATTCCACAGATTTACTCAAGGTCTCGATTACACAAGATTCACTATTCACAGTTCACAAAAAGATTCGCAATCCACAATTCAGAATAACATGATTCTCAATCTCCAACACATCGCAAAACAGGGATCTAAACGAACGAAAATAAAAGAGAAAATCGAGATTACCACACTCCTCGATTCTACACGAGGAGAGGAAAAGCCAATTGAGATTCGAACATGGTCACTAGCGGCCTCGGGAAGACTCGGCTCGCTGCAGCCCGGACACCCACACGTTCTAAAAAATGGCCCATCTGCCGCTGCTCAAGCTCTCGGTGGCCGTTAGAAATCAAGGCGCCTCAGTCCACGAAAAGCCCTCTCGGATGGTGCTCAAATCACCGGAAACAGGCCCTCAGCCCGGGTACTCTTCAATCAGAAAATGGCGCCTCAGCCCGCCGTCAGAAAGAAAAACTCAGCAGTTGAAGGTCGGGTCGGACCTGGTAGCGCCGGCGATGTTTGTTTTCAGCCGCGACTAGTACCTGCCAAATGAAGGTGTTCGGAAACCTCTCAGCCCACTGGTCTGGTCGCCCGGAAATCTGGTGGTTGGCGGTTCCCGGTCGCGGTTTGACCGGCGTTCGCTGCTCCTTACCGGAAATGACTGCTCTCTGTCCGTTCGGTAGGGCTCGCCCGTTCGGCGGCTGCGGCTGCGGCTGCGCGTGGAACTCGCGGCGGCGACGATGGATGGTGAACGGACGCCAGCAAGACTGCTCGTGGACAGGGGTTCGACGGCTGCTACTCTCGACGGTGCTGGCTTCAACGCGACCGGACGTTGGTCGAAAGAGACGACGGCTGGGGGAAGGTTGCCGAAGGACGGTCGGTCGGGGAAGAGGAGGATGGCGACTTGGCCGTAAGATTTGGTGAAAAGTGAAAGCCGATAGAGATGATCGACGGGAAAATTTTAGGGGAGGGAGATGCTTTTTCTGTCAATCGATCGATTTCGATCGGATTTCCTGATTCTGCCGTGCGAGAGATGAAGGAAGAATGAAGGCGGCGGCTGTCTCTTTCGGTAAAAATAGGGTTGCCAAAATGGTTGCTTGGTGCCGTGTGAGAGAGATGTAAGAGAAGGGCTGTGCGGTCAACGAAGAGAGCATTTAAAGGAGAATGAGACGAAACCCTAGCTTAATGTTGGGCTTCTTAGCATTGGAGCATATTTTATTGGTTAGTAATTTATCTTGGGCTTTTTTTTTGTGTACCACAAGTGAATCTCTTAACCCATTAAACAGAGTTTAATATGATGCCCACTTAAAACTTAATAATCTATATATATGTAGGCAAAATATTTATTAAAATTATTTGATTTTTTCTTCTATTTTCTGTTATAAATTCTATCATTAATATTTTTTCTACCTTTCATATTAATAAACCCCAAAATAAGAACACTCCAATGAGATTGCTCCTCTCCCAAATTTTCAAAATCGCCGAACTATAGCTCCCGTCAAATTCAGCCGCTTTGAGCCTCCTTTTGTTGTCGTCCGGGTCGTCGGTGGACGGCTCTTCGTTGCACAATCATGTTTTAGTCGCGGGGCTCTCTTTCTTCCGTCGATTGCTTAGGGGTTCAAGCGGTCTTTGCCAGGTCGAGCAAGTGGTCGGATATGTGCGAAGTCCGACGGCGTCCCGGAGTAGTGTGGAAGGAGGAGTACTGGGTCTGGAAATGGTGGTGGCTCAAACCGCATATGTTCTCTTCGGATTGGGGCAGTTCTTTTCGCCGGGTCCTGAGGTTAGCTCTCTGCTCTATCTCTTGCTCCGTACTCGATCTCCTGCTCCTGCCAGGGTCGGTTTGTGACTTCCGATCGCCGGCATCTCGACGTCGCTGGGGGGAGGGTCAAGGTTCCGTCTTTAGGGCTGGATGGAGAGCGTCTCGGTCGTCTGGGCTATGTAGATTAACTATTTAATATTTATTAAATAAATATTAGTCATTTTTAACGCATAAAATTAACGTTTTAGAAGCTCACATGACTGTCAATCATCCATTCACACTCTCTATCCCAACATATGAAAGTGGCATTTGCAGAAGCCAATAACATCTAAAAATAATAGAATATAATAAAATTGCATAATTATATTGAATATAGAATTCATATAAAAGAATTTAAACATAATAATAGGTTTACATAAAAAAATGAATATAGGGCTTACCAAACAACATTGATTCATCGATGTTGTCTACAGCACGCAAAGTGAGAAAACTTCTAAAAGAGAATCGAAACAATGGAAATGGCCCATTAAATTTATAGAATTCGATTCTCCCATGAAGTATGATGCTATATTTGTCAATAGTTGATTTGTGAATGTCAATGTTGCTCTCCACTTGATAATGATGAAAGACATAAACTTCTCCATCCTGAAGCTCGTCAATGAACTTGGGTATGTGAACATGCCTAATGACACCGGGTATCCGCCAACCCTTTAAAAAAACAAATTATAATACTATACATCTGGGGAAAAAAAGAAATTAATAATAGAAAGATGTGACAAACCTCATTAACATGCAAAATTAACTCAAGCACATTTTTATAAGAAATATTCTCGGACGATTTTTGAAACATGCGAATAATACAAAGCTTGAGCAACGGCCTATTGGACCTCTAGACTTGATCAAACCCCGTGGTGGCGTCATTTTTAAATAATTAAAAATTAAAGGTTGTATTTCTACGATCTACTTTGTAAATCGAGCGTGTTGAATGCAATAATCACGGTTTGCATTGGTCTATTTATAGTGAAATTTATGTACATATCATTTGTTAATTAGATCAATGCAGATACTTTTAGAGATTTAGTTTATGCTTTTAACGTTACATATCCAATTTTTTATTAGTAAGATTATAATAAATTTCAATTTGTCCGATTATTAATTGGAATAAAAATTGTGCAAATTAGTTTTACTTTCTTAGGGTACTATTTTTGAATTTTAACAAGGTTAAATTACTATCAGTTATAGTTTTAAAAAAACTTAAATTGTGCTACCTCATGGAATCAAAGTTTAGAATTTATATTAAAAAATACGAATCGTAATCTAATAGCTTTTTAAATGAAATTTACTTTCTCGACTGTAGTAAACGTTTTTTTAGAATTTTATTTTTGTCATATTACTACAAATATGAAAAGAATTGAATCTAATTTTTATTTTTTTTTTGCAAATGAAATTTATTTACTTTCCTATCTTTAGTGAACTTTTTTTAAAAATTTTATTTTTGTCATATCTATATATATTGAAAAAGAGAGGTCTATTGGCAAAAAAAAAAGAGAGGTCAATAAATCATTTGTAGAAACTTTTAAAAAGCTGGTCAACAACACCATTGACTTCCCATTTGTGGGAACCTAAAAAAAAATCTATTATTTACTTTTTGATTTTCTTTTTATTTTAAATCATTCCAAAACAGAATCAAGGAAAAAACAGAATACTGGAATCATTCCAATATAAACAATTTGGCCGAATTTTCTTTCCAATTATTCAGGAAACCACCGGATTTTCTCAACTATGAAATCAAAATCATAGGAATCCTAATTTTTTAGGTAACAAATTTGGAGATTTTTTTGGATATATTCAAACTTATCTTTAACATCTATATAATTACATTACTGATATATTTTTGCATATACACCGGGGAATATTCAACTTAAATGAATAAACTATCTCGTGTAGATAGTTACGAAAAAATATCTCGTGTAGATTGATATTCAACTTAAATACCCATGTATTAAATACCCATAAAAAATTACTGATAAGTTGGCATGAGTATTAAATACTTAATACATGTATTAAGTACCCGTAATAAATGAAAATGTCAACTTTTCATGAATTAAGTACCCGTACATGGGTATTTTAATTTCATTTCTTACTCATGTATTTAGTAATGAAATACATGTATTACCCATGTACGGTACATTACTTCAATAACATTTTTTTGACAATTGAATTCAACTTAAGGCATTTTTTCTTTTCATTAATTAGGAAACGTGAGAATAAGAGGTATTAAATTGGTGTTTTTATAAAAAATTGATCGTCCAACAAAAAGTGAAAAAAGGATAAAAATCTTATTGTGAATTAAAAAAACTATAAATATAGTTTTGTGAAGTATTCTTTATTTTATTTAATATATATTTATTTTTGTTACTATTAAATAGATTAATTAATTATTCGACAATTAATAACGCCCGTGAATATCGACTTTTAAGTAGGGGTACTTAAAAGTTGGTACTTAGTACGGGTACTTAAAAGTTGGTATTTAGTACCCATGTACGGGTACTAAATACATGTATTAAATACCCATAAAAATAATTACTGATAAGTTGGCATTTTCATTTAAGTTACGAAAAATAGTTACTGATATATTAAATATTTCACTTAAATGAAGTAACATTTTCAGTATGTCATATTGAAAATGAACCCGTACATTTATAAATATTTTTTCGATATACCCATACATGGGTATTAACATTTTTTCGTAACCATACTGATATATTTATATCAGTATAAATATCATTTACTGATATATTTTTGCGATATACCCGTACAAAAATTACATATATTATTCAGTTTTTCGTAACAATTATTTAAGTACCCGTGTAATATTAACATTCATGTTAATATAAATTTTTAATTACTATTACTATGATAACATTGATATAATAATAATAATAATAATAATAATAATAATAATAATAATAATAATAATAATAATAATAATAATAATAAACATTTGCTTATTATAATTTCAAAATATTAAATCTATCATGTAAGACATCACAAATAGTCTGAATTCGCCTTTAATTTAAAGGTAAAGATACCCATATATATAGATGCCCTAATTTTGTTTTCTTTTATATTGTTAAATATAAAATTCAACACACATTGAGTAGAACCAAATTTGCTGAAAATTTTGATGATGATTTAAAAAGATAAATACACGATTTCTTGATATGGGAGCAGCAAGTCTTGACAACCATTCGAGGATATGGTTTAGCTGGTTATCTCACAGGAGAAACTCCTACACCAGACAAGTTGATACTGGACTCAACCACAGGTGAGTATACTGTCAACAAAGCTTACCTCTCTTGGGTAAAGCAAGATCAGCTTGTAGCTTCTTGGCTCTTGTCTTCCCTGTCAGAAAATGTCCTCATCACCACGGTTGGATTAAGCAGTTCCAAGGAGCTATGGCAGTCCCTCAAGCAAGGCTTTGCTAGTCATAGCTTAGCCAAACAGATGCAGCTTAAGCTTGAGCTACAAACTCTCAAGAAAGGATCTTTAAAGATGAGGGAGTACTTTAACAAGGTCAAAGGTATTTGTGATCTCCTTGCTGCAGTAGGCCACAAAATTGGAGAAAGTGACCAGATTCTCCACTTGCTAACTGGGTTAGGGCCTGAATACAACTCAGTGGTGGTGAACATAACCTCTAGAGCTGAACCTTGCTCCATGGTAGAGGCTTATTCCATACTGCTGAGTTTTGAAGCCAGAGTTGAAGGCACTGATTCATCAAATGAAGGGGATGGATCTTACCTAGGTGCCAATATGGTAACCCACACCAACAATACTCGGGGCAGAGGCTTCAACAATTTCAGAGGAAGGTTTAATGGCCAAAGAGGAGGAAGATGAAATGGCAGATCTGATTCAAATAGAGGAAGAGGAGGAAGAAACTTCTCAAACCAAAATAGGGCAAGATGCCAGATCTGTGGTTACAACAACCATACTGCAGACAAGTGTTACTACCGGTTTGACATGAATTTCAGTCCAAAACCCCAAAACACAGGAAGCAACTCACCAGCACAAGCCAACAGTGCCACTTCCTCAAACAATGTAGCTGGATATGGAACCCAATCTGTTGATGGATCACCAGACATGCTTTGGTTTCCAGACTCATGAGCCACACATCACATAACAAATGAGTTGAACAACCTCAACATCTCCTCTGAGTATGAAGGCAATGAAACAATCCAGATAGCTAATGGAGCAGGTATGGTTATTGCTCATTCTGGTAAAACAATGATGAAAGGCCATTATCCTTACCACAACAATGTCTTCCTTGTTAATAACCTCATGCATGTTTCTCAAATCACCAAAAACTTATTGAGTGTATCTCAGTTTGCAAAAGACAACATGGTTTACTTTGAATTTCACCCATCTCTATGTTTTGTGAAGGATATCAAGACAGGAGCAATTTTGCTCAAAGGAACCCTTAAGGATGGCTTATACTCCTTCAAGCTTGCCAATCACCAAGACAGTCATGATAGTAGTAGCTCACCTTTTATTTCCAGTTTTCCCTTTCAATCAAGTTGTAATGCAACAGCCATAGGGAAGGTTGATTCCTTAGAAATGTGGCATCATAGACTGGGACACCCTTCATTTCATATGGTAAAGACTGCCTTGCAGCAATGTAATATCCCTTTCTATGATAATAAAAGACCATTATTCTGCAATGTTTGCATGGAATCTAAGTTTCATAAGTTGCCTTTTCTGAGTTCAGTTCATCATAACTATAAACCTTTTGATGTTGTTCATTCTGACCTTTGGGGGCCTACTCCTATCACTTCTTATAGGGGTTTTAAATACTATGTCAGCTTTATTGATGAAGGAAGCAGGTTTGTTTAGTTTTACCTATTGAAAAAGAAGTCAGCTACTAAAGATGCCTTTATTCATTTTCTTAACCTTGTGAAAACCCAATTTAATGCCACAGTCAAATCCTTCCAATGTGATGGGGGTGGTGAGTTCCAAGCTTTAAAATCTGTATTCACTCAACATGGCATTACCTCCAAAATCTCACGTCCATACACACCTGAACAGAATGGCCTTGCTGAGAGAAAGCATAGGCACATTGTCCAAGTTGGCTTGTCTTTACTATTTCAGTCTAAAGTCCCTTTGAAGTTCTGGGATGAAGCTTTCACTAATGCTATTTTTCTCATAAACGGGATACCCAATAAACTTCTTCACTACAAATCCCCTCATGAAATCTTAACTCACCAACCTCCTGATTACCTCTCTCTCAAAAGTTTTGGATGTTTGTGTTACCCATTACTTAAATCATATAACACTCATAAGCTGCAACCCGAAAGTCTTCCATCTGTTCTCCTTGGTCTTAGTCCAGATAACAAGGGATATAAAATCCTCTTACCATCACAGAAAGTTATCATTTCTAGACATGTTCTTTTTTATGAAAGTACCTATCCTTTCCATGCCACACAACATACTACTCCCACACAACATACTACTCCCACCCAACCTGCCCAACCACATATTTTTCAGCACATTCCCATGCCACATGTCATTCCTTCCCCAACTCAACATTCTGAGATTCCTGATATTCCTCCACATTCCACAACTAATCCATCTTTCTCTTTTCCACCATCATCTGAACATTCTCAACACCTTAACCATTCACCAGACCATACATACACCTTCTTCTTCTAGATCCTCCACACACCCCTCATCTCCACCTTCTATACCCATTGGCCAAATCATCATTGATCTACCTATTGAGCATAATCATTTAACTGCTCCTGGTATTGTTAATGCTTCTGGTTCTCTTCCTCAGGTGACTACAGGAACACATCTTATGACCACAAGGTCAAAATCTGGGATTTTCAAGCCAAAGGCTTATTCTCTACAAATTGCAGATCCTCACTCACTGTCTGAGCCTCATTCTGTTGATGCTACTTTGTCCTCTCCTCTTTGGTACCATGAAATGCAACAAGAATACCAGGCCCTATTGAAAAATAACACATGGTCTCTTGTTCATGCTCCTCCTCACAAGAGTATCATTGGCACTAAGTGGGTATTCAAGGTCAAAAGAAACTCTGATGGCACTATTGCTAGGCACAAGGCCAGGCTAGTGGCCAAAGGCTATACCCAACATGCTGGCCTAGATTATACTGAAACCTTTAGTTCAGTGGTTAAGCCTACTACCATCAGAGTTGTTCTCTCTATTGCCACCACTCTCGGTTGGAAAATCAGGCAATTGGATGTCAATAATGCCTTTTTAAATGGCACATTGGATGAAGAAATTTTTATGGCCCAACCCCAGGGATTTGAAGTTGAACCAGCCAATGGCCTTGTCTGCAAACTTCACAAGTCCATATATGGATTAAAACGGTCTTCCAGGGCTTGGTCTTCTAAGTTTGGATCTGTTCTTCTCTCCCTTGGTTTTACTATCTCCAAGTCTGATCCTTCCTTATACATCAAGCACACTGATATATCTTCCATGTTCCTCCTTGTTTATGTGGATGACATCATCCTTACTGAAAGCAACCCCTCTGATATGAATCACCTCATCACTTCTCTTCAGGCTCATTTTTCATTGAAAGACATTGGCCAACTTACCTTTTTCCTTGGAGTACAGGTTACATATTCTTCAGATGGCTTGCTTCTTGACCAGTCACAATACATAGACAGTCTCCTTAACAAGGCTGGTATGAAGGGGGCAAAAGGCCTTAGCTCTCCTATGGTGTCTCATCCACCCTTGTCAAAGATTAATGGAAGTCCTATCACTGATGTTTACCAATACAGGAAAATAGTTGGAGCTTTGCAATATGTCACCCTTACCAGGCCAGACATATCATTTAGTGTAAACAAAGTGTGTCAGTTTATGCAAAGCCCTTTGGACACCCATTGGAAAGCTGTTAAGAGAATACTAAGATATCTTGCAGGAACCAAACATTTTGCTCTCAAGATACAAAAGTGCTCTCATTTCAACATCACAGGTTACTCAGATGCTGATTGGGGTTCTGACCCTGATGACAGAAGATCAACTTCAGGGATTTGCATGTATTTTGGTGAGAACTTAGTATCTTGGATTTCTAAGAAGCAAGCTGTTGTGTCAAGATCTTCCACTGAAGTTGAATACAGAATACAGAAGTGTTGCACAAACCAGCTGTGAAGTCACTTGGATGCAATCTCTTATGACTGAACTCAGAGTTAAGCACACTACACCTAGCATCATTTGGGTGGACAATAGAGGAGCTGTGTGTCTTGCAGCTAATCCAATTTATCATTCCAGAACAAAGCACCTAGAACTGGATCTACACTTTATAAGAGAAAAGGTTGAGAGGAAGACTATCTCAGTACAACATATTCCAGCTATTGAGCAAGTGGCAGACATTTTTACTAAGGCTTTATCAGGTCAATTCTATGCACGGTTGAGAAATAAGCTTCAACTGATTATCAAGCCATGCATAGGATTGAGGGGGCATGTTAAAGCCCTTGCATATTCCAACCAAGAAGAAGACAAAACTTTGAGTGACTCAGCTGGAAAAGAAAAGGAAAATGGCAAAGGAGCTGCCATGACAGCATGCACCGTCTGCATGGCAATGGCCCACGAGCCTGAGGGCAAAATAGCCAAAGATCAAACCCTAGCTAATGATAGGACCTATCTCAATAGTCTTACACCTGTCCATGAAGGCTTAGCTAGAGGATAACAGCCGCCACCTACCTTTCATATATATATAGCAACATTCAGTGTGTGGTAGATCCAAGAAAAAGGAATCACTATTTTTTCATGTAAAGAAAACAAAAGAAAGCAATGAAAGTTTCTGTCACTTTACTGAGTTCATTAATGGTGTGTTTGTGCTTTTCCTTTTAGAACCAACGAGCTCCTCTTCCGGCGACCTCTCCGTTCAGCCCCGACGAGCAGCACACACCGGCGGCGACCTAGCAGCAGCATCTCAACGACGAGCAGCCCTCCTCCTCGCGAGACGACGCTTGCCGTCGAGCTTTAGCCCGTGAGTTCGCCTCGTCTTTTTCGTTCCGTTTTCCGAGCTTTTTCCCGAGAACTGTACCTAGTCGATTTCGTCTCGTTTAATCGTTTATGTTATTTACGTATATGTGTGATTTGCGAGACGTGAATATTGTGCGTTAATGTGTTCGTTATGATTTTATGTGAGTTTAGGGTTTAGGGTTGGAAATATTTGATCACGCCCTTTAACCGAATTTGATAATTAGACAGAATATTACAAAACATAATTTAACACAAGTTGTACCGTCTGGCTCTATATTATATGAGGAAAAATACATTAGATTATCCACATTGTTGCACTCGGCCTCATTTACAAAAAAAGGACACTAAAGAGCAACATTTTTAGATTTGCCAATTCAACAAGGAATAATACCTCAAGAATTTCTCGTCATTAAAGACCATGAAAGATCTCTAGCATCTTCAAGTCCAACCCTTTTAATTTCTCAGCTTCAAGTGACTCCAGCTTCTCCAAAAGATATTAGATAGCACTGCGTAAAGCATAATAAAAAAAGACTAAAGGAAAACATACAAAATGAGAAAAGGATTCTTGCGTCATATTTTCCTCCTAAGAGTTCCGAAAGATTTCTTATATTTCCTAGTGTCTTATCTGAAGAGACTGATCTTGTGAGATGCATACATATTAGTCTAATCATCTTCACTCTAGCTTATTTTTTAAGTTCAGTTTGAGATAATCGGTCCACATGTGAAGTGCTGAATCAAGTGAGAAGACAACCCGAATGGTGAGAAAAAATAATGCAACTTTTTCAAGATTGAGAACCGGTGTTTGGTAAGAACTACTTCAGAAAACAGTTGAGTTGGTTATCCGGAAAATTGGAATAGAACTTCAGGAAACTCTCACCAGTGATTTGGAGTTTAACAACTCATCCAAAAATTTATTCAAACAAATTAGTGCAACATTATTATAAAAACAACACTTCAACAAACTCATCTATCATGTATCATCAAATTTAACGAATACAAAATGACACTGACAACTTATAGCCTCTTAGCATTAACAGGACAAATGAATGAAGTCCATGATTAAAAGCCACAACAATTACAAACACATACCAACACGTAAGAAAGCACAAAGCTTCATCGCAATCCGAAAATCTCCTCAGGAGGATCATAAACACGCTGGTCGGGAAAATTCTCCTCGAAATCTGGCTTCACCTTGTTCCTCAACAACGGATGAGGCAAAAGCCCCTTCAGTAATATTCTAAACGGCAACTGTTCAGGAGGATCTGGAGATTTCTTCATATCCTCAACAACGTTCATGGCATCAGCAGGAGAACCATTCTGCAGAAAACCACGGATAACTTTTGTATACGTTTGAGAGTCTGGGAATAAACCTTCCTTTCTCATATCTTCCCATAGTTTCTTGACATCATCCATCTTCTTCCTTCTGGCCAAGGAAACAATTAAATCCTTGTACAGATACACATCCAGGCTGTACCAGTCTTGTGACTGGATCACTCTAAACATCTGAAAAATATCAAGAAATTTCGATACCGTCGACTTTAGGAGAAAAGTAGCTGCTCAGAAACAATGTAACTAATATGTGGATAATAGAGCAGGAGCATAATTAATGGTGTTCCAGTGTATAAAAGGTCAGTGCAGATCTCAAATATTTCAACACCATGAACTCCAACAACTTATATACAATACCTACAAGTCTCCATCTTTATTCAGTTTACATCCTCTTTAAATCGGAAAAATTGAATACCAATCAAGCAGGAAATAATTGGTTGTCTAATCATTCATAATTAGATTGATTGTGTCAAATTAAAGCCACTTCAAAAAGCACATGCATTCAAGCATGAAAATAAGTAACTGAGTGTCATAACAGAAAGAACAGTCATTTAGGTAGCTATTTAAACCCACGAACGAAAGGGGAATCCGCAAAGAAGGTACAAACGGCGATGCACAAAGTACAAGGAGAACCAAAATCACCTTGACAGCAAGGGAAACCTCCTCTTGCCGCTCGAGCTCTACAAGCACGGCAACCATGTCCATCTTGAGAAGCCTGAGCACGTGCGTTTTGATGAAAATTAAATAGTAGTTTAGCATAGCATTTCGAGATTTAATGCTTTAAAAGATTGAGAAAATTACTCACTACACCATAAATTTCAATTTTATTGCACACTTAAGTATCTATTATAAATATTATCAATCCTACCTAAAAAACAATTCACCGATGATGTTGCTCTAATAATTATGCATAGCGAATTCATTAGGAAACAGAAAGCAGCACGCAATGTCAACTTCTTTTTCTTTAGTTTGCTTATTTTCCTTTCGTCTCTTTCATTTAAAACAAATAAATAATTATCACATAAGTGTTAGATATGCTGTAAAAGCTTGGCTTTCAGATATAAACAATATCATTTTAATCTGACAATCGTGTTTTAGTCAAAGTATTTATGTTTGCAGTTTATTTATTTATGCAATCATAACTTCATTATTTTACATTGTAGATAATATGGTTCATCGTGTCAAACAGAAAGATCATATTATCGGTTCCTTGTAAAATATAAATTAAGTGTTCACAGTTTAAACAAGCAGTGAGACCCTTGTAAAATATAAATTAAGTGTTCACAGTTTAAACAAGCAGTGAGACCCTTGTTGAAAAAAGACTGTAGTATAGTCTTGATTCAGTTGATCTTTGACTGATGGGTTACACTAGTACTTACGATAAAAAAGAACACTCGGCTCATTTCCCATCAAATAGTTGGCAAGCAAGTGCAACATAGCAAGTTTCACAACATCATGATCATTATCCCAATACCGAGACTAAAAACGCATACGAATAGCTTCCATACTAAGACGATCAACTGATGAAAAATAATTGCTGAACAACCCACCTGGTGCACCCTCGTATGACAACTTTTTATAAGAAGCAGAACACTTGAGACCAGTAATTAACGAAAACTCGCCTATACCAAAAGACATAATTTAGCCACACAAATCAAACCAAAGCTCATTTGAATTCTTCTTTTTTTTTTTTTGGCAAATAAAATATCTAGATTCATTCAGCCAAAGTCATGAACTCGATACATCATAAAAGAAAGAAGAGAAAAAAGACGGCATAGAATCCTTCCACATAAAAGGATCCATCGCCTCTAAAGCCCATTTAGCTAGGTTATGAGCAATCACATTATTTGCTCTGACTACAGACACCACAATTCAAGGATAACAAAAGCTCGGTAATATCCTCAAAAACATTTGAATTCTTTTGATAAAGCCGTCTAAGCAAAATCAAGTGAACCAGTTGGGGCTGAATAAGACAAGTACGAATTTCCAAAAATTTCCCAAAACGTGATTTTTTTAGAAGATCCAACTGAGTTTGATTGAGAATACTTCTAATAGTTTCAATGGTTTCAAAACGATTGAACAACCTACATCTATTCATCTTAGAATCTCGAATCATGAGATCCCATTCCTGAAATATGAAATACAAAAAAATTAATCCCCATTAATTAAATAAAAGTAATAATTAAAGTACATATAAGACTATCAACGTACAAAGATTTATATATATATAATTGCTGGCAAATTATACATATAATTGCCAGCAATTAATAATAATAGTAGTTCATTTAATATAAATAGGTGTTCATTTAATAAAAATATGTTCACCATTTAATAAAACTATATAACTTTCAGTTACATGATTTATTTGGGCATGTCCGATTTTGGATGGTGCCCATTTTTGTAACGCATTTTTATATCCTAAAAGTACAAAATATTTTTGTTTTTATTTTGATACTATATATATTTTAGTATTACATAAATACATATTTCACAACTAATTAAGAATGACTACAAATATCTTTGTTTTCTATTGTAGTCATACAATAATAAAAATAATATTTTTTTGAATATTACAAAGATACATCAATTATTTGAAAAATCAAATATCATGAAATAAAACCCTTCATTACTCCTGCAAAATGGTCCTGTAATATATTTAAAAATTTTAATATTATATATATAAATATAACTTATAATACTCTATGTTTAAAGTTTAATATCATTATCTAACTTGTAATTTTAATATTACATGCATATATAATAATAATAATAATAATAATAATAATAATAATAATAATAATAATAATAATAATAATAACAGATAGAGTTGAGTTGGTAAAAAAATTAATAGAAAATAGTAATAAAAAAATAATACAAAAAAAGACAAGTAAATAGCACAATTTATGATTTTGCCGCCCCTATTACTAGTTACCGCCCCTGGATGATTTTGCCCTTCTCATTTTTTAAAAAATCTCAAAGAAAAGTGTATTGCATGGAGATAAAAAAAATTGGAGAACAAATGGAAGAAAATTCAAAGTAATTAGAGAATGATTAGAACAAAATGGATAACAACATGGAAGACGAAATATTGGAATAATAGAGTAGATTGATTGACTACAAAAATGAGGCTTTATATTGGAACAATAGAGTAGATTGATTGACTACAAAAATGAGGTTTTATATAACAGTATGGTAACTACAATGCCTAGTTGATATTTGATATGACAACGGAGTTTGATTATGTGTTAATCTAAAATATAAAATTGTGCCACATAAGATCCCAACACGCAAGAGTATGTTATTTAGGCTTAACGCATTCAAAAATGATATATAAGGGATGTGCAAATACCAAAGATAAAACTACAAGCTGCTCACATCTAATCAATACAATTTTTTTACAATTTAAAACAACTGCAGTTCTTTTTATTTTCAGAGTAAGATCAAATATGATTACAATATCCTAGTAAAATTGGCACACACATTCAGGCATGATACATAAACATTGAAATAAGTCCATATCCTTCACCAGGTGAATAGAAGTACATAAACTATATTACCTTAGTAAATTATTACCAGATCAAACCTTTTCTTCTCCTGAATCTGTCCACGCGGTCTGTGCTCATTCTAGATTTTTCAGGCTTGCTCGACTTCTTAGACTTGTCAAGTCGGCTATCCAAGCTGTTTCTGGAAATTTCAGGGAGATCTGGCCGCAGCTCAAACCCATCCGTGGAACTGCTTTCGGTAGATTTATTATCAACGTTTGAAGTTAGTGATGCTGGTCCAGAACCATTGACACCTGGCCTTGTTTTTCCAAGAGCCAGAACAAATTTCTTCAGGTGTTTAATGAACTCAGGGTAGAGTTCAAGATTGCAATGTCCACCTCCACATATCCATAGAGGTTCGTATTTCACTTTACACAGCTCCCATAGCTGCTTACCGTGGGAGCAATCGACAACTTCATCTGCAGTCCCCTGTTTATGGAACTCAGTAATCAGTAGTCATTAACCTCAATGAGGAAAAAAAACTACAATCATTCATCTCCTAGAGGTATAGTGGCTATTTTAATTTGCAATTTTAATCTTTTTCCTATTACCCACAAATCTTCAATTTTTTACCTTTTTTTGCCTACAACTTTCTCTTTTATTGGTGCCTACAACTTTCTGCCCTCTTCCTAATCGTTTTCTGCTTTTCTTCACTTTTAATTCTTCAAGAATTGCTCCTTTTCCAGTTCTTGCTTCAGATTATAAGATTTTTCATAAGCTTACAGTCAGTGGAACTTGATGTAATCTGCTCCTGCAACCTTCTATGAGTGGGAATGAAAATAAGATGATACACTAAAGTGTACTTACAGAGAAAAGCAATTTATAAAGTGCCTTATGTTTGAAATAGCACAATACATGAGTAATCTTCAGCCATTTGAACTAGATTCAGGAAATTCCTAGGTAGCGGAATTGGCCAAAACATGTAATAGCAAATTGAAGAATAATGAAAAACAAGAGGAAGTTGAGAATGAGAGGACTGAGTTCGAGGAAGACAACTAACAGATTAAGGGCAAGAAGAAAAAGAAGAGGAGTAAGTCAGATAAGGGTGACGTAAATAGGTAACTGTGACGTAAATAGTTAACTGGCTAGATGCCAGTGCCATTGGTGCAGTTGGAAAAGCTGTTGGGTTTGGCACCCTGCTAAAAATTATTTTCTTGTGAAGTTGGAAACGCTGTTGGGTTTGGCATCCTGCTAAAAATTATTTTCTTTAAATCTTTTGACACTCAATAATAGGTCTCTTCGTTGAAGCACGTCTTTTCCTGCATTAAATTGTAAATGTCACACCAACGAAGTGTGGTGTCATTGAACACTTGACTTTTGAGATACTTAGAAAAAAAGGACCATACAAAAGCCTCTGATTCCAGAGTAAGGGCTTGCATAACATCTCAATTACGATTCAAATGAAATGTAGTGGTTGAGAAGTCGTCTCCTAGATTACAGAAATAGTTACTCTTGCTGCCCATACCAAACACCCATGATAAACAAAGTTAGCTAAAGAACACTACCATTACAGCTAACATTATCATATGATACGTGAAGTCGTGCAATCAACCAAAAAAAAAAAAAAAGTCAAAGTAATAGGTATAAACATCCAAGTAGTAATCATGTATCCACATATTTGCTAAATCATATAAAGAAAACCAAAATATTTCAGATTTCGCAAAGCTTATGAAAGATATAAAATAAGATGGCAGAGCTTTCGATATGTTAGTGGTGACATTTTTGTGGTTCCAACTTGGAAATATTTAGGGTGGCACTTACTCTTTTTCTGGGGGCTATTACTCACCAGCAATGTTTTCCCATTTGAACTTAAACAGTTTGTTTAAACTATGAACCTTAAAGCTTTGAACCAAAACTTACTGAAATCTCATAAGTAATTAATAGCTAAAAAGATGTTCTAAGTTCAATCACGCTCTTTAGGGTAGTATTATCTACGGAATGAAATGAGGAACAGAAAGAGAACTTACGTGAATAACTAGAAGCGGACAGTTCACTTCACCAATTTTGTCAATATTCTGTGGAAAACAAAAAACTGATTCACAGTAGTAGAGGGGCCACAATGAAAAAAGGGGAATAGACTATAAATCTGAAGCACGATAAATTACTACCTTGTAAATATCAAACCAAAATGTCCTTTTCACAGGGTATAGAACTCTCAACCCAGATAAAATTGGGCTGTGTAACACAACACCTCTCAAGTACGGCACTCGTGATGCAAGATCGATGGTGGGACCACTACCAACAGACTGCCCATATAGTATTAGTTGTTCATCTTTAACACCATACTTCTCCATGAGGCATTTATACACAGCATCAATGTCTGCGTATGTATTACATTCAGTTGGCTGTTTCAAAGAAAAAGAATGGCTTGTGTCATATGATAACAGGAAGTAATGATTTACGCGCATATCGGGGAAGCATGGGATAAACAATTTTTGGCTATGTAACATCTAGGATACTTATATAGAACAAAGAGTGAAGAAAGCTTTTATGCAATTCCCATGTTTGCTTATTACAGCCCATGCAAAAATCTGAAGTTAACAGCTATTTTCCTCTAATCAGGTTCGTATCATTTCTTTAGAAGAAACAATTTATGAATTAAAGAAACTAGTACATGTACACGGAAAGTTAGTTCCACAGATTTTTGGTGGTATTAGCGGAAGTCATGAACTACATCAGACCAAAGCTGCAAGCTACTTAAATACTTGGTACAAGAATAATTTCACAAAGTCCCAAGAAAAGAAAGCATCTAATACCTTAATATCATACAATTATTTTGAGTACAAATTGAAACAAATTTTAAGTTTGTTGTGCTCCAGAATGAAATCAAGATGTGGCAATGCTTAAAGTAAATGGACATTGTTAACCAGTTGAAAAACAGGCAAACTTATGCTAGTGTTCATTTTTTACTTCTGCAAGCATTTTTGTATCTAGAAACAGAGACACGAAGAGCAATGATCACTATTGAAGGTTTAATTGCACATTTACCGACTACATCCAGGTTTTTCCCAATAATTTATGTTTTTTGTGCACTGTGAAATAAGGATTATTATTTGAAGATCATGACAATCATGCTTGACTGTAAAGAATGTGACAACGTCATCCACTAGCCTTTCACAATCCAAGAAACATCTATAAGGGCCACACCAGGGAGATGCCAGCTCATCAAGTCGAAAACGTTTAAATGCGCTACAGTCGTGCTAGCATTTTCCCTTACTAGTCAAGGGGCTGCTAGTGTCACTTGTTGATTGATTAACAATCTCTAGGAATGATCTGCAAGAGAATAAATGTGATGCTCCGTAGGAAAAGATCTAGTTCTGAGGACACCTATAAATTCTATGAAATATAGCAAAAAGAAGGGGAAAATCTCATGAGAGCAATGTTGTGCAGCATTATGACACATTCTTGATAGTTGTTGTGTTTCTTGAGCTCCACACTTCAACTTATTAAAGCAGCTACATAAAAATCCGGTGGAAATATAAATATAGAATGCTCATATATCATCTATAACAACATGTGTTTATCGCCATAAACATGTTTTATTAAACAAAGCTGAATAGAAACATTTGACAATCTGAACTTAGCCTGTTGATGAGGGAATTACTGGACAAGTAATGTTATATTGTAGAAATGCAGGGTTATTATGAACAAGAACCTCTATCCCAAAATCGACTTCTTCTCTGGAATAATCAAACCAGATCGAAAATTTTTCAAATAAAAATTATCATTCATCATCCTAATGCAAATATATGGTTAGTTACAGAAAATACATGTCATTTACTAATTCAATAGACCTAACAGTAGCAATCCCGGACACTGTAAGCCACAAGAACGGATAACACTGTGCAGCTACAGGAAAACGCCCTTCATATCAATTATCGTGAAGCAAACGAAGAAACTGAATAAAGGAGAAGCGAAAATATCCAACAGAAAAAAGCAATAATAGAGAGTCACAAAGTTACAATATCTTATGATCGCAACATCTCCTTCAGACTCCTTCAGATAAAGCACTTCACTAATTAACAATTCCAAAAGTTCAAACAACAGCAAAACTGTACAGAAAAAGACTGCTAGATTAGGCAACTAACCTTTCCAGAAGACTGTCCATAGCCTGAGTAGTCATATCTGTAGAGAAAAATGAAGGAGCATGAAAAATCCATAATTGTCCATAAAGAATAGCCAACTTCAAATTGTTACAAAATGATGCATAACAGTGAAGTTCAAGGAAGAACGGCCACATCCTGAGGAAAGACTGTCTAGCGAAGAACTTTAAGCCACACTAACACATGAGTCAGGTGCTTGAAAGAAACTAAGCAGAGGTGATATAATATATCCATAAGGGGAAAATTCATGACACACCAGATGTATGGTGCAACTGGTGAATAAAATATAGAACACCTTGGATGATAGATATTCACAATGCGTAGTTAGCCAAAGCTAAGGCCTACATGAGTCATAAATCCTCATTAAATTAAAGAGCCCAATACATTAAAAGGACATCTCCCTCTCTACATTCTCATCATATCCAAATTTATAACTTAACCTTTTAAAACTTTGCCTGAAATTTATAATTGCTTGGAGAATGGATGTTAGGCCATTTTGATAATACAATCAGAATGCTAATACTTCTTTTGCTTGTAACATAAGAATATTAATGGTTACTTTGACAAAGGTAATGAATGACAGGTGCTTGGTTTCTAACTTCATAAAGCATTCTTTTTTGAATAATTCTTTCCGAAAACTTGTGTTGCATTAAAAATTCATTATAGCAGTTGCTTGTTACTCGTCCCAATTTCTCAGGACATGGAAGTTGGCAGACTGTCTTCATAGGTTCACCACAAAAATTAATAATAATAATAATAATAATAATAATAATAGAAAAAAGAAAACTGAAATGTAACTTGCAGGGGTCACTAAAAAAGGAATGAATGAAATGCAAGTCATGAAAAAAATAATAACATTTAGACTCATGAATTTTACCTAAATATTTCCCAAGTTTTCCTTAATTACAAGCAAAATTAACTCTGTAACTAAAAAGTTAACCCAACAGAATCAGATTTTACCCTATCAGATTCACGCGGAGACGGAGGGTATTCTCCACGAGAGCTCGTACATCTGACCTAAATCAGCGGCGTTACCATGGGAATACAGCACTGTGGAAGTGGCCTTGGGGTGGCTGATGTGCACCGCCACAATCTCGTTTCCCCGGCGCGTCCTCAGCCTCAGAACATCGGCACCCTCCCGCCATGGAACCTCGGGTATGCTATGCGCTCCACCGCGTAACTCGTCTACCACCACCGTGTACGACGGCGGGGTCGGTGGAAAGAAGGCGAACTTAGCAGCGATCGATGACGTCACCCCACCCATTCTTTTCTCCCCAGGCAGACAACACGACTATGCCACTCTCTTTTGCAGCAGCTCAGAAACATATTTAGCAAAATTCATATAGAAAAGCTTGCAACTTCTGCTTCGTTCTAGGTTTTATCAACTCGTATCAAGGGTCCAACAGCGTCAATAGCGGTGGCTGGGAGGCGGCGCGTGCCGGGAATAAAATGAGTGGCGAGAGTGGGGAAAGCGAAATAGAACTGCGGTTATATCAGTTACTCCCTTCTCTGCCTCAGAAGAAGTCTCCTTTTTATTCAATGAGTGTCGACTCCAAGGGCGAGGAATGTCAGGATCTCCAACCTTACGAGCAACCTGGCCCATAACATACAAAGGTTACTTCTTTATAGTAACTCAGTGAAAGGTGAACAAGACAATTCTGATTAGTTCTATATCCCAATTCTACCATCATATTAATCTCCTACTCAAGTAATTCACAAATAAGAATCTTACGAAGCAGAAGAATAAAGACAAGGAAAGCAGCAAAGAGAAACAAACCTCACAAGTAATTCTTAAAGTGTCCATGTAAGTCCTGTTGAAGTACTTTATGGCTTCCTCGGCTTCATGTTCTGTCCTAAATCCCACAAACCCAAATTGCCTGCTCTTCCCCTCCCTGAACCAGCATTTCATAGTTAGTCTAGTGAACAAAGAAGAGACAAAAGGTACAAAGAGAGAGATAATCACTTTGTGCGCATAAGCTTGGCATCGGTAACCTCTCCTTTCTCCGAGAAGAATTCTCTGAGGCGATCCTCTGCAACATACTTTGGCAGGTTTTTCACACAAATACAAGACCTGTCGTAAAAAATCCTTTGACTTCACGAAGATTTGGTATCCTAAATATCCATTTGAAAAAAGAGATGAATAGATAGGGCGAAAGGAAGGGCGCGTTAGCGAACTTATTGAAAACTAAAGCAAGATAGGCCTTCTGTTTTTCTTAGTTTCTTAGTAAAGGCACGTTAGCGCATCCCCTTCTTGCACGTTAGCGCCCCTATTTTTTAATTGCAGGCATCAAACGGAGCTTAATCATTCACCTGATTGAGCTGGAGGTGTAAGAGAAAAAGACTTACATGTTCGAGGAGACTACCGTTTTACTATCTCAAGCAGTAACAATACAAGGTCACCAAATCGCCAAACACACCAACATACAATTTAGATCACCAATAACACATGGCCTACAATTAAATCCAGGCAAAAACAAGATAATCACATAAACACTTTGTCATCGAAACTTCGAAACAACGTAGTGCATCCGCATAATCGAATCAACACCTTCTACCACTAAAAAAAGGCAAAAGAGATGACATAGAAAGAGAAAAACTCACTGAATCCATCGTGAACGAGGTAGTTGAAGGTGTGATTGTCGCAGTTGTAGGTGAATTAGTTGTTCGATGAAGGAAGCTTCTGGAGGTACTGATAGGCTATGGATTTGAAGTTTCCGGCTCCGACGATATATTACCGGAAATATGGAGGCCTTTAGCTTGAGAAAAAGGTCATCAGGGTTTTCTCGACATTCGGTTGGGCTTCGCTGTCTTCAATTTAAATTGGGCTTTTGTGAAATATGGGCCCAAACTGAACTAAAGCCCAGAGCTGATCTCTACCCGACCCTTAGTATTTACCGGATAACGTTTTCGCTCTGCTAAAGCATCTTTTAGCTTGCCTAAAAGCTTCAGACAGCAAACATGGCTACCTCCGTTCTCCACTCGCCCTCCTACACCATCTTCAACCTTCACCACCGGCAGCAGGTCAGTCTCATTCTTCATCTTCTCTTTTCGCTTCTGCTTTATATAATCGAAAATTGTTACAAAAAGGAAATAGGTGTTATACTAACTTCAAATTCATTGATGGCAGCAGCCGAATTTTAATCTGCTACCGCCCACCAAGTGGAAAATTAGATCAGCGGGTAGTATTTCCGCTTTGGTCGCCGACGATGAGACATCTTCTGTTCATTTGTCTACTTTTCCGCTCTTCCAACCCTCTGTTCCTCCCCAACCTACGCCTGCTTCTGAGGTGCGTCCTCTGGTTTTTGCGAATTTCCTTTTACTCATTTATTTATTTTGGGTGTGATTGGACATGGATTGAAATAGTTTTTAATTGGTTTTTTTTTTTAATCATAATTTTTAATTTCTTTTTTCTTGGGACTAAAAGGCTATGTTGTTATTGTTGTTGTTGTTGCTCTATAGTTAATTTTTAAAAAGATAGTATGGTTAGTTGTTTGTGGATATTTAAGTTTAAATTAAAATATTAGTTAAAATAAAATAATCTATACTTATATTAAAGGGAGTCCTATTTATTAAATTTAGTAGCTAGACAACAGCATTTATTGCCATTATTATTTTCGTATTATACAATTTTATTTGATATTTGTTTTTCCGTTACGCTTTTTAAAAACAGATATGGTCAAATTCTCTCATCATTAATTACTTTTCATTAATTACAATTTATTTATTTATTATTTTCTTAGTAAAAACGGACCAACATTAATTGATTTCCTTAAAATGTGGAAGTTGTTGCTTTATTTTTTTACAGAAAATCGGATTCATTATAGACTTAACGGTGATTAAAAGAGGTGGAAAATAAATGATTAACTCTTTTCAGACTTAAACGAGACTTAACGGTGATTAAAATAGGTAGAAAATGGATAATAACTCTTCTCAAACTTAAACGGACAGAGCCTGTGAAAATAATTCATTTAATATCTCTCTCCCGTGCATCGCACGAAGTACGTACTAGTTAAAGTTGATTTGATGTAAAAGTAGAATAAAAATGTGATGGTTAGTTAAAATTATGTGAGTGAATGAATAGTGAATAAAGTTGATGTGAGGTGTAAGAATGATTAATTAAAATTATTTAATTATATTGATAATATTAGAGATAGTGAGGTTGAGTTAAATTTGAGTTTTGATTGGTTTTTTTTTTTTATTGGTTGAGTTGATAAACAATCACCCCCTTATCGCCAGTAGTCAAAAAATGTCATTATGTTTCCACAAGTTTTCGGGTGGAATGGTGTTGGTCACTGCAGTTTGTTTTGCAAATTCCATTTTACTCTTACTTTGTTTAATTTTTTTTGGGGGGAGATTTATGCCGATTTTTTTTTCTGTCCCTGCTAACAGTTGGAGCTGGCAGATCCTGATTTCTATAAGATAGGATATGTTAGGAGTATGCGAGCTTATGGAATTGAATTCAGAGAAGGTCCTAATGGTTTTGGAGTGTATGCCTCTAAAGACGTTGAGCCTCTTCGTCGTGCCAGGGTACTTTCTCGTTTGCAAATCATTTTTTACTTTTCAACTGAGGATTTGTGCATATCTTTATTTTCTGCCTTCAAATTAATGTGCTCTTAAAATGATTTGCTTCTCTTGTTTCTGCTAATTGATTAATACTGTCTTTTTGGCGTTGTGTAGGTGATTATGGAGATTCCATTAGAATTAATGTTATCTATAAGTCAGAATCTTCCTTGGATGTTTTTCCCTGATATCATACCAGTTGGTCATCCTATCTTTGATATTATCAACTCAACCAATCCTGAGGTATATGTGGCGATACTCCTTCTTCACTATCTGATTAGCTGTTCATTATGTCCTTAGCTAGTAGCCGTCTTACTGGATTCATGTTTATTATGTCAGCCCATCGGTGACTTATCTGATATTAATTCATAGCTCCTCTGTACATTATACTTTTTTGTTTTCTGTCAGACAGATTGGGACCTGAGGATGGCATGTCTTCTTTTATATGCATTTGATTGCAATGATAATTTTTGGCAGCTGTATGGCGACTTTTTACCTAGTGCAGATGAGAGTACTAATTTTCTTCTTGCTAAAGAGGTCTGAATTGTTCCTGTTTAATTGGTTCTAAATCTTTCAATGGGCTAGAAATTTTCACCTTTTTTTGCTACTTCAGATGCTTCCTTTATTCAAACTTGAACAAATTGCAGGAGGACCTTTTAGAGTTACAGGACAAGCAACTTGCTTTCACATTGAGAGAACAGCAACAAAGAGCTTTGGAATTTTGGGAGAAAAATTGGGTATGAAGCTCTCTTTTATATTGTCAAATATACAGAATTCTTGGCATCCTTTACCCCAAGTTTAACCCTGGAACTTTGGCAGCACTCTGCTGTACCCCTTAAAGTGAAACGCCTTGCTCGAGAGCCAGAGAGATTCATGTGGGCATTAAGTATGGCACAATCTCGAACCATCAACATGCAAATACGAATAGGGGCCCTAGTTCAAGATACAAATTTGCTTGTCCCTTATGCCGGTTAGCCTCTATCTAAACGATTACTTTTGGAAAACAAATTGAATTTTCCTTCGACCAAGATAAAGTACAGCAGTGCCTAGCAATGCTGTGATATTGGTTATTTCTAAATCTGAATAAATATTTTGCATTTCGGTTAATCAACCACTTATCATTATATATTGATGTGGTTAAACAGAGATTTTCAACACAAACCTAGTTTTATAATTCTGATGACTTGCTGAATATATTAGTGGAACTGATATTGGGTTCTCCAAAGTTAAGAGCATTCACTCAAGTGGTGTAGGTGACTTGACTGAAGCTGACTGACGACTATACTTGATACTCTCTTCTAGATATGTTGAATCATTCTTTTCAGCCGAATTGTTTCTTCCACTGGCGTTTCAGAGATCGAATGCTTGAGGTGATGATAAATGCTGGGCAACGAATTAAAAAAGGAGATGAGGTATACAGTTTAACGTGCTCTGATATTATTGTTCATTACTGTGATTCCTAAACTGCCATGATATCTGTGCAGATGACTGTCAATTACATGGATGGACAGATGAATGACATTTTCATGCAAAGATATGGATTTTCTTCCTCGGTGGTAATTCTCTATAGTCTATATCCCCCATATGATGTTTCTTTCAATATGTAAATAGCGGCCTCTCCCTTTATTCTTCGTGAAGCTGCAGACCGGTGTATATTGGATATACAAACTTTAAGATATAATTAATTAGAGCACGTATAGATGGGTCAAACTTTTGCCATAATACTCTGGTTTCATAAGACTTGTAGTATTCAGAAATCAATCCTTTGGGCATGTCATCTAGAATCTTGTTCCTAATATTTTGGAATACTTACAATTATCTTTCCTAGCTAATTGAACTCAAAATTTTGCCTTTACATTGGTTTTTTTTAAAAAAAAAAAAATCATATTTCGTGCGACTCATGTTGTGGCAACTTCTACAAGTTTGTTTTAGTCAGCCCCATTGGTTGAATGCTTTTGTTCAGTCTTATGGATATCATACTTCTTATGTTAGACTTACTGTTTTCTTTGTCGCTATTATTTTATTCCCTTCATACACCTTACCTTCACAAAATCAATATTGCAGAATCCTTGGGATGTTATCCAGTTCTCCAGCAATGCACGGGTTCATTTGGATTCTTTCTTATCTGTCTTCAATGTATCTGGTCTTCCAGAGGATTATTATCACAACAGTATTAATACACTGCCCTCATAAGTTTTAACACTCCATTAGCAAATATATTTTTTCTATGATTCATGAACCAGAACCTTAGTAAGTATGTCCGATGTTAGGTAAGCTAACTCATGGTGGCGATAACTTTGTTGATGGTGCGGTTATTGCTGCTGCAAGAACTTTACCCACTTGGTCAGATGGAGACGTCCCTCCCTTACCAAGTATGGAAAGGAAAGCTGTGAAAGAGTTACAGGAGGAATGCCATCAAATGCTTGCTGAATATTCTACAACTGCGGCTGAAGATCAGCAAATTCTAGGTACAATGTTTGGTCGACAGTTTAGTTTTACTTGACCTCATTATTGTTCTGCTTTTTTAGGTTTTACTAATATTGATGTACCTCTCTATTCTTTGTTAAAAGCAAGATCAAAATATTATTTTTTCCAAATGTAGTGAGCTTATGGATTGTTTGTCCATTGCAAATGGAGCTGGAGGAGTCCTTGTTGACAATTCTCCTGGCATAGTGCTAATAATGGACTAGATCAAAATGGCTCAATTAAATTCTAGTGCTTCTTCTCTATTAGTGAAGTTTCTAGAAAAAAAAATATATATCAAACGGCGCAATGCACCTTGGGTCGCTACGGAAACAGCCTCCTTGTATAATTACAAGGGTAAGGTCTGCGTACAACTGACCCCCCAGACCCCAACTTGTTGGGAATATACTGGGTATGTTGTTATTGTTGTTGTAGTGAGCTTATGGATTGGTGATGGTACCGCTGGATACTTATACCTCTAGGTCACATTAACTGTTAAGTGGAGAATGAGTGGAAATGACGATGTTACTGTTGATGGAATATACTGGTTTGCTATCTCATGATATATTATTATCCATTTTAATTTATAAATTATAATTTATCATGCAAGTTGCAAAGTATGTTTTTGAATGTGAGCTTTTGTGGAAATTCTTCTTAAAACTTTAGAAATCTCTTTAGATGATATGATCAAGTGCAAGTCTAATCTAAATTACCTTGGTTTTCTGCTGTAGAGTCCAATCCTGAGGCTAGGAGGACCCTTGAAGCTGCAATAAAGTATGTCTTCCCCTCATTAAGCCCATGTAACATCTAATGTTGACAGGTATCCAGCTTAACTCTTTGTGTTTTGTATGTGCAGGTATAGGTTACACCGAAAATTGTTCATAGAGAAGGTTATTCAGGCACTGGACGTTTACCAAGAACGGATGTTATTCTAATCATGGAAGCAACTCCTGGCAGACCGAATGCCTAGATCATCTTTATGTTTGGAAATACGTGTTGGTTGACCAGGAGGCGGGGAAGGAGAATTGGCATTGAGAGGTTGTCTTATAACTTGGGTTTTTCGTAGTCTCTTTCCATATTGAATGGGAAGCATTTCTTTACATAGAAATCCTTGTAACCTGTACCATTATGTACCTGTGACATTTAGATGCACAATATCAACTCTGATTAGTGTGTGCTAGGTTTTTGTGTTGATTACTTTGATGTAATAGTAATGTTGTGATCTCTTGTTATTCTTTGATTATGCTTTAGACATAACTGGACACCAAAAGATAGTACACCAAAAGATGTTCTTTGATTTGTCCTAATTGAATTAGCTTTGTCCCTAAGCCCCGCCGGGGGAATATACATTTGAGAGCAAAATGTAATGGCAGGCGACATTTGGTTCTAATAGTAGCAGATTATGTGCTAGAATTTCTCCTTAGCCCTACATTTTGGTGCATGTATCTAGCAAACTACTCCACCAACCCAACCCTATGAAGCCCATGGAGCATGGAATTTATGATACCAAAGCTATTCTACTTGCTTCCTCCACTATAATACCAAAAATCTTCAACTTTATTCACAGAGATCAGGGTGGGTATTCTCGGGTCTCAAGGGATCCTAAAATGAACGAGATAGCATTGGAGAGGGTGCGGACATAGCAGAGACTCGGGAGTAGAGCCTCAGATTAGCCTATTCTTGTCACCCGAGCCTTGCGGGAAAACCAGATGTACTAATGCGTATAGCCAATTCGCTAGTGCATATGCTCCTGAAGCAAACTCTTGCCCTACATACACAACCACCCTCAACACGAAACCCAAAATTTTTCAAAACAAAAGCAACACAACTTGATATTCTAAACAAGCTCACATTGTCCTTCAAGGAAATATACCAAGTGCATATAAATAAAAAGAACAAAATAGCAAAGTCGCCAAACTACAAATCCAGTAGAATTTTGCATTGGACATCAGCAAGTCACTTAAAACAAACAAGCAAACAGATTTTGGCACCAAAAACAGAGACTCATGAACCCTCGGCAGCCTGCGGCTGTGTAACTCCAGATTTGAGCAGCAGCTTACTCAGCGCCTCGGGAGAGCACACCTGATACTTCACCTCCCCATTAGACACAAACACCTCAGCAAGCTCAAGCTTCTCGGACGTGAGGCTCGTGCTATCCATTGTCTTGCTAAGCACCTTGAGAGCAAGCTCAATCGCCTCGTCCCTCGTGATCTCATCCTTATAGTCCTGCTTCAGCATTGACTGAGCCGCCTGATTATTTGCCCCGATAGCAGCAGCCTTCCAGCCGCTGTAGTTCCCACTCGGGTCGCTCATGTACAGCTGGAACCCATAGTTTTTGTCCCACCCTGCAAACAGGAACGAGACGCCGAACGGGCGAAGCCCACCAAACTGAGTGTACCCTTGCTTGGTGTCGCACAGGGATTGGACCAGCTGCTCGACCGGCATGGGCTCCTGGTAGGCCAACGTGTAGCGCTGGGCCTGGACTCGGGCTGTGTTGATGAGTATGTTTGCATCAGACATGATCCCAGCCACAGCACAAGCTACATGGTCGTCGATTTTGTACATTTTCTCCGTGGATGCCGAGCTCTGTAGGAGCTTGGAGGTCACTTTCTTCTCCCCGACTAAGACAACCCCGTCTTTGGACAGTAAGCCTATGGCACTTCCTGCATTGCCAATAGCCTCCATTGCGTACTCCACTTGGTACAGGCGGCCCTCTGGGGAGAAGATGGTGGTGCGGCTGTCATACCTTCGAGACATGTCGGTTTCTAAAAACACACACGTATATACAACCAAAAAAAAAATAAAAAATAAGCAAGCTTGAATGACTGAGTTAGAGGCCCAAGTCAAATATATGAATAACGCATAGCACGATTATGCACTGAAAATTCACAGAATATCGAGAGTGTGTATGAGTATGAGGTTGAAGTGAGAAATCAATTATCGAATTGCGAAACTGCAGAACAGCGAGTCAGTCCCCCATTTATAAAGGCTATGTTCAATTCCGTGGAAATTGCTCGGGCTGGGCACACGAGAAATATGATTGTTTCCACAATAAGATTAAGATCTTTGAAGATGAGCAACTATTGACTTGATTTTATTGCATTCATAGTTGTGCCTACAATCCCATTATTTGCCATATTTTTCTTGCCCTAATTTCGGGAAAGAAAATTCAGCTCGAAATGGAGAAAACAAGCAAGTCTAACTTCTTCTATATTCTAGAGACGATCGATAGCAGAAAATAAAAGGCAGGAAAGAAAAATTAAGTATAAAGTAGAAATTGAAAAGGAAGAACATACCTGGAGAAAGATCTGAATATGGATTTCGTAAGAACGAAAGGTTTGTGAAAAATATGTGCTCCTATTTCCTAAAGCCGTCTTTTCTTCCCTTTTATATATATTGAAAAAGAGAGGTTCACAGTCAATCAAATTGACTTACTGAATATGGCAATCTTTTCAAAACTGTGTAATTTCAAATTCTTATTCCTTATACTTCGGCTGAATGAAATTATTATTTTTTATATTTAGCAATCTTTTAAATTACAACCTTATCAAAATCAATTTAATATCTTATCAAAAACAATCCTTCTTTATCGTTAACAACAATAATATCTTAACAAGATCTTTTCCATGTTTTACTTGAAGATAAATGTGCAGATCAAATTCTCAATGCCGAAATTGTATGAATGTTCCAGACTTTCATCTCCAAAGATGTGGTCCACAACGCCGAAGACTCGCTTTCTTTCGCTCCTCCAACAGCTTAGGAAAAATCAAGGACGAAGCGAAAGGGTATTAATTTATACGCATGACCAGGATTTTTTCGCCAGATCTTGAGATGGAGATGGAACGCGTGACCGAGCTGACGATAGATCGGCGGCCGAGGAAAAGACCGTGGTTGGGATGGGATGTTCTTCCTCAAGCCCCTGAGGTACTTTTGTCATAAGATCTTAAAATCTTGATCTTCTTCTTTTTTCTTTTTTCTTTTTTATAGTTTGTTTTGTAGATCTGATGCGAAATTATGAATATTATTGGAATGGGATATTCTTCCTCAAGCTCTTAAGGTATTTTTTTTATAAGATCTTAAAATCTCGACTTTCTTTTTCGTTTTTTTTTATGGTTTGTTTTGTAGATGCGAAATTATGAATATTATTGGGTCAGGTATGGGTAATGGCTTTTTCTTTCAGTAATAAATTTGCTTTGCTGGTGTGGTTTTATGTTTTCGTTCTATTTTCATATTTCAAGCCTCACTACATTTATTTTTCTTCCCATAGTGAAGGCATACACCCTATTTTTAAATAGAATGAAGGCAAATATATTTTTGTTTGTTTATTGTCTTTGTTTATGGGAGATGATTTTGTTTTGCGGTGGATTATGTTTTGTCTTTGTGAGTTTCTGAGGATCATTTTTTGGGTTTTCTTGCGCTTAGAGCCGTCCGAGAGGGTTCTCTTTGTAGCTCAGTATGGTTTTAATCTCATTTTCATCCTTTTTTATTAAGTTGTAATAATTATTATTAATTGTTTGGTTTCTGATTGATTTGAAGAATTCTTATTTTCTAATTCCTTAATTGTTTGGTTTCCGTCGTCGCCACTCCAATTCCCTGTTCTTCGGCTCCGCCACCTCCAAAGTCCTTGCTCCTCGGCTCTCGGTACCTTACATCCCCAGCTCGGCAGCTTCTCAGCTCTCGACTCCGAAGGTAACATTNCCGAAGGTAACATTTTTGTTTTTGAAGATTTTGAATCAATTGAAATTGGGCCTCTTCTTCATTCACTTGATGGTTTAGATTTTTTGTTTAATTGGCATGATTATTTATTAAATTAATAGAGTTAGATATGAATGATTGACTGATTGTTGCTATTTTAAAGATTGGCTTTCTGTAAGTTGATTGCTCAATTGTGAACTAACTTGATAGCAGTGTTTATTCAAATAGCTTATTCTGATGAATTGTGAACTAGAATGATATTGTTGTCTTGACTGGAGCCTGGAGGTAGTTTGCAATTTTAAAACATAAGTACCTTGTGATTAATACTGTGGGATGGGTTTAATTATTATCTAAACAGATGAAATATAGTGTTATCGAAACAGAAGGAAAATGGGTTTAATTGTAACCTAAATTACCATTTGAATTGGGGAGAACCTTATGTGTTTGATTCAATGCTGGGATTTGTGAACAAATGAATAAACTCTGTGTTAATAATATTTTTTTTTTTCATTTTCAGTTTAAATGACGACAAATAGAGATATCGGTTGGAAATTGTTCGCTAATTATTTTCGCTATCCGCAAGTGTACGGAGTAACTATAGGTAGTGGCGAGCAAGGTCGTATTCCACAGAGACTGTAGTTAAATTAATTAAGTACTAAAATAATGACGATTAAATATTATCTAGACTAGTGAATTGAATGATGATTATAAACTAAGAATTAAACTAAAAACTAGTTTATCTAAACAAATAAAAATAAAAATAAATAAAGAAACAAAAAGTAGATTCTAGGCTAAGCGTTCCTCGGAATTAATTCATGAAACGTTTATATTCAAACAAACCTTATTTAATTTTACCAATCGTAGAGATAATCGCTAAATTGATTTCAAACCTTTCTCTCGAACAAGTCAAATCGTAGATATTAATTGTTATCTATCTCCTGGTCTCAAGATGAACAACTAACTCCCATAAGTTCCTAGGATTTTCGTTTTCTCGCAAGGTCCTATCAACCTCTCGGTCTGTTTATTCTCTTACGTTATAAATCTCCCAATTCTAGCAATCAATTATCTCCTCTCGGTCTCAAATCGATCACAAATATGCATTCATAGTGGCCATCTACTCACACAATAATAATAAGCACAAGAAATTTATAAACAAAAGATAAACCGGAATGAAATAAATAAAAACTAAATCATATATTAATCCGAGTACTAACCAATCCTAGAATCTAAGATAAATCTAGCCTAGAAACATGATTTCAAAATAATAAAAATAAATATAAAACATTGAGTTCGAAAGAAGAAAAAGAAAAAGAAAGAAAAAGCTTATTCGGCTCCGTCGATCTTTTCTTCCCGGCTTTGTCCCTCGTCTTGCTCGTGTTTCTAGCCTCCAAGAGTCTCCAAGGATGTGAAAATTATGTCCAAGACTCTCTCAAAAACGTGTCCAAGGGTTGTATAAATAGTTGAGGTCGAGTCCTAGTCCAAATAGGTCGAAAAATCCCAAAAAATAGGAAAAACACGTAAAATCCGTACAAGTCGCGCCCAGGGTCACACGACTCGTGTCATAGGCCACACGAGTCGTGTGACAAAGTCGAGAGCACAATATACGACCCGTCGGAACGACACGACTCGTGTCTAGGGCTCACACGACCCGTGTGTACCTGGGAGGGTTAAACAGCATCAAATCTTCATTTCCTGAACGTCTCG